CTCACAATTCCTTGTATAAGGAGTTGTATACTAAAATTGATTATGTTGTAATTTGGTATAAAATTACTTCAGAAGTCACAGAAGAGAGACTGATACCTCACTAAAAGCAGGTATTTAAGTATATGTGGCTTATCCTGGAACATAGTTTCCAAGGAAATGACTGGTTGTTATTTTAATGTTCTAAATTTCAAATTATTAGAAATCTGATGTATATGTTCCAATTTATGGATATTTGAAATCATATATTCTTTTTGAAAGTATATTAAAGTAGTACAGCCATTATGGAAAACAGTAATGGAAGTACCTAAAAAAAAAATTAAAAACAGAACTATTATGTAATCCACCAATTTCACTACTGTGTATCTATCTAAACCTGAAATTGGTATGTACAGAAGACATCTGTACTCCCATGTTCATTGCAGCATCATCGCCAAGGAGTAGAAACAACCTAAGTGTTTTCCAACCGATGACTAGATAAAGAAAATGTGAAGCATATACACAATGAAATACTATTTGGCTATAAAAATGAATGAAATCCTGTTATTTACGACAATATGAATGAACCAGAGATCATTATGCCAAGTGAAATAATTTAGACACAAAAGAGACAATTCTCACTCATGTGGAATCTAAAAAAGTTGTTTTCATAAAAGTAGAGAGCACAATGGTAGTTAAAGAGAGGCTGGGGACAGTATGTGTGGGGTTTCAGGTTAAGAGGGGGAAAGGTGATCAGTGGGTACTATGATACAGCTATATAGGAGCAAGACATTCTTAGGTACTATTGCATAGTATGATGACTACAGATAACAATACTGTACTATACATTTCAAAAATCTAGGAGAAAGGATTCTGGAAATTTTTACCACAAAGAAATGATAAATGTTTGAGGAGATAAATATGTTAGCCTGATTTAAACATTATGCAATACATACATCTATCAAACATTCCACAATACCTTGTTAATACATATGACTTTTGTTTTTGTATATTAGTTAAAATTTTTAAAAATTAAGAATAATTTTTAAAATAAATAAATATACAAACACTAGATTCAGAATGAAATGCTACAAAGATAAAATGCTCATAAATATAAACTAGCTGTTCAATTCGGTGGCATTTTAGTTTACAAAGAAAATTTCATGTTGAGAGTAAGTCAGCTAAGCCTTTCTGCCTGGAAATTTAGGTTGTCAGCTCATGGTTGACAGTCCACATGCTTCCTCTCCTACAGTTCAAAGTCTAGGTAGCGAAGTGTCCCTATTGTACCTGCTTAAGGTATCATCTTCAGTACTCAAGTACTCAGAGTGGACCTTCAGGAAATGAAAAACAGCATCTTTCAACATGGAGAGGTTTCTCCCATGAGCTACTCCTTTCAGCAGCTGGAAGTATGTGGAAGCCAGGAAGCGTAGCCATGTTATTGGCTTACAGAGTCTGCAAATCTATCTCACTTTGAGGAGAGAGTATTAAACTTCAAAAAGAGAGTTTTTAACTTTGAAAAGCAGATTAATTTACCATTAACATACATTGAAGAAAAGATATCTTCTTCAACAAATGGTGCTGGGAAAACTGGAAATCCATATGTAGCAAAAAGGAATTTAATCCCTATCTCTCACCCTGCACAAAACTCAACTCAAAGTGAATCAAGGACCTAGGTATTATATCAAAGACCCTGAACCCACTAGTAGAAATTGTAGGCCTAACACTCCATCATGTCAGCTTAGGAACTGACTTCCTCAACAAGACTCCTAAAGCACAAGAAGCAAAATCAAGAATCAATAAATGAGAAGGTATCAAACTAAAAAGCCTCTTCATAGCAAACGAAACGGTCAAGAATATGAAAGGAGAGCCTACAGAATGAAAGAAAATTTTTGCTACCTACACCTTGGATAGAGCACTAACTTTCAGGATACACAGAGAACTCAAAAAAAAAAAAAAAAAACCACCCAAAAAACAAATAACCCAATCAATAAATGGGTTATTGAATAGGTACTTTACAGAAGAAATACGACTGGTCAACAAATATATGGAAAAATATTCAATAACTCTAGAAATTAGAGAAATGCAAACTAAAATTACACTGAGATTCCATGTCACTCCAGTCAGAATCAAGAATACAAGCAGCAATAAATGCTGGTAAGGATGTGGGGAAAAGGGTATACTCAAACATTGCTGGTGGGACTGCAAATTGATGCACCCACTCTGGAAAGCAGCATGAAGATTCCTCAGAAAACTTGGAAGGGACCCACTATTTGACCCAGTTATCCCACTTCTAGTTATATACCCAAAGGACTTAAAATCAGCATACTACAGTGATGCAGCCACACCAATGTTTATAGCAGCTCAATTCACAATAGCTAAGCTATGGAACCAACCTAGATACCCATGAACAGATGAATGGATAAAGAAAATGTGGTATATATACACAATGGAATATTACCCAGCCATAAAAAGAATGACTTCTTGACTTTTGCTGGTAAATGAACAGTTCTGGAGACTATCATGCTAAGTGAAATAAGCCCATCCCCCCAAACCAAAGGTTTTTGTAAATATTAAATGAATATCCTAGAAACAGAACCACATGGAGTAACAAAGATTGTTTTAAAAGGCTATGAGTATTTAATTAAACACCACAAACATATTGCTAAAATATAAAATCTTTAATTCCCCATTTAGTGGATGCTAACACACAACAAGGGATGAGGGAATAGAATAGAAGTTCATTGGATTAGACAAAGGGGAATGAAGGGAAGAAATGGGGGGACGGGAATAGGAAAGACAGCAGAATGAATTGGACAGCACTTTCCTATGTTCACATGTGAATATACCACCAGTGAAACTCCACATCACGTCCAACCACAAGAATGATCCTAATTAGAGTAAGTTATACTCCATGTGTGTATAATGTGTCAAAATACACTCTACTGTCATATATATCTAAAAAGAACAAATTTAAAAATTTGAATAATTAATTATAATATAAAACTATGTCTCCTTGATGATAACACCCATGATATCAAATGGAACAGGCATATTTAGACCTGATGATTAGGCAAATTCTTAGAGATGCAGGTAATGGAGTAGATCTTTCCTGGTGAAGCTTTTCTGAGGAGTGATAAAACCTGAGGTACTTCTCTGGAGAGGGTCTTTTTTTTTTTTTTTAAATTCTATTTTCTAGATTTACTTAAATTAGGCATTTTAAAATTGCATAGTTAAAAAAAATCAGTTATATTTTATTAGATAAAAATTACCTTGAGCTATATTTGCACCTGAATTAAAGTCCTTAAAAAAAAAAAAAAACATATACCACAGTCTTAGGCTGTAAAAGCAATCATGCACATGAGTACCAGGTTGGACATGGAATGGAGGGTGACACACAAACACACATGTAAATAACGTGATCCATTCAGTCTATTTAAAAACAAAAACTTCAATAAACAAGCAGCTGCTCTTTGAGAATATATTGAAGACTTCATGATTTTGAGGTTCTCCCCATATAGTGGATACACTTATGATATTTCATTCACTATGTTTAGGTACCATTTTTTGGTTTATTCTCAAAAATTATTTCCATTTCTGGTCTTCTAGATCATTATCAGCACTGCCTCCTTTTTCTTTTTTCTCTACCCCACTGCCTAAACCTAGTGGTCATTATTTGGCTCTTATCTATGGATTTGATATTTTATATTTTTAGCCTTTAGCTATAACTTGGTTCTTTCTTTTTTAGTTGGTTTTAAAATTTTTACTTCCAATTATCTTCAGTTTTTCTAAATCTCATCTTCATTTAGGCCTGTCGCTTAAAATAACCTAACCTATCTGTAGAATGGGGGGAAAAAAACCCAATGATTCTGATTTCCTTCTTTCAAGACTCTGAAATATTTATGCAGAAGCATATTTGTGCAAAAGTATAATTGCTTTAATTAGCAGTATTTAAATCATGTGCAAGGTCGGGGTGTAGTTCAGTGGTTGAGAACATGATTTGTATGTATGAGGTCCTGGGTTCAAACCCCAGCAACAACAAAAGTGAAAAATGATCACTACTACAGAAAGCTTCCCGAGACATTTATAAAATACACTCTTGCTGTCATACTGAGAATTCATATAATTCACAATAACTGTGAGAAGAATGGAAAGAAAACATTGTCTATATACATAAGCAAAAAAGGAGATAATTTTAAAAGAAACCAAGACTCCAATGAACAAAGAATAATAAATTCCCCTCTTAGGTAAAAACATATACAGTGTCATACTTGCTTCTCATTTACTCATTCACTGATTACATTAATGTTATTTTTATATATTCTGCATTAGTATGTTAAAACAAGTAAATATAAAAAAAAATAAATTTTACAGTTCCTTGGTTATGTAGATCAAATCTTACTTTGTAAATATTAAATGAATTTCCTAGAAATAGAACCACGTGGAGTAACAAAGATTTTTTTAAAAGGCGATGAGTATTTAAATAAACACCCCAAACATATTGCTAAAATATAAATTCCTCATTTAAAAAAAAAAGCCTGATTAGAAGCTTTCAGATCATTTGAAGATGTGAAAGGCTGTCTACGGTTCAAGTTCAGTGCCAAGTAAAAAAATCATTTCTTCTTCTTCCAACTCAAAGTATGTTTAGGGGAAGGATATCTGATAGAAGTGGTAATGCCAATCTAACCAATTTTAAAATATAAAGTGCTTCTGGCAATATTTGAATACATATAATTTGACAAAATTTTTTATAAACTTAAGCTTTGAAAAATAGCAAATATAAGCTCCAACAAAAAGCTTAATATGTAACTGAAAGAAAATAATATTTTGTAGGAAAAAAACTGTCCTTTCAAAAAGAGACAAAAATGAGTTTTATTTCCCAAGAGAATTATGCCACTTTTATACAACAAAATTACGGTTACCACAAATTGCTTTCAACAATTCCACTGCTTCTTCATTTGACCACTTGAAAATCAAAATTCTTTCAGATTATAAATATAACTTTTTATAACTCTGTTATTACGTACTGTGAATGGGGAAAGGGGGCCAATCTTGTGGCCATAGCGTCGAACGGCCTCTCTGATGTGGCAGGGCTGGATGGCATCGCTGTGAGCCTCAACACCACAGGCCGCAGTGCTCTGCAACAGAAAAACACATAAATTGTTACTAAATCAAAAACACACAACAGAACTACAGTGTATAAAATATTAAAATAAACCTTTATAAAAAGGATCATTTTTTCCCTTAGGGTGCACATCACTGCAGCCATATACTACATCCAAAAAAAAAAAAAAGTTCCATTAACAAATCAAAGATGACTTTTACATGACCCCTTCCTATTAGACCTACCAAATGCAATTTTTATGCCTACAATATTTCACCTAAGCCAGCATGTCAAGGTAAGGAGAATACAGCCACTTGTATGCTGACAAAAAGTGTCAAGGAGCTTGTTGAAAGAACCACATGAAGTTCTTTTTTAAAAAACATTTATTATTATAAATGTTTCTTGGGAGATTCTTGAGCATATTTCTGAAATAACAGAGGGTCATCAAGTTAAAATGAAAAATGTAAAACTTCTATGTATTCATTTATCAGACTGGTGAATGTCATAAAAGACTGTTTCAACTTGGTGCCTAATTTTCTAAGTGTTCTGTTCCTCAGAATGAAATAAAACAAGAACTTTCTATTTTAATCTGTCTCATCTATAGAAGGCAGGTTTGAAAGCACAAATACACACAAGAAAGAGAAAGCTAATGTACAATGAGTACAAATATCAACTCAAGAAATGATAGAGGTGTATGGATGTGTATATAACATGATTTTTCAAAAGAAATTACAATGCTATGTAGGGCATTATAGTTTAATGATTCAATTGCAAGTTCTGGCTTATCAACTACCCTGGGTCCAGATCCCAGTCCTATCAGTTATCAGCTCTGTCTCTACCATAGTATCTCTAGGCCTCAATTTCATCTTCTTTAAATTGGGACAAAAATTATAATTGCTTTATAGGATTTTTGTGAAAATTAAATGAGGTGAAATATACAAACATAAAATAGTGCCTGGCATATGCTAGCTATTCTTAGTACTAGATTATTATTTAAATTAAGGATTAAAAATGGAACATCCATGTTCTTGAAATGGTAAGCTAATTTAAAGTATAGTAGGTAATAGATACCAGACACCATATCATCAATCTTAAAGAATCAATGGAAAGAAATATTCAGCTCACATATTGGTATGACTGTGATCTAGAACTCATTCATAGTCACCTAATTAAAACTAATCATTATTCTGGTCACTACTATAATTACTATAATTTACCTGATGATTACCAAAAATTTTTTAATTTGTTTTAATAGTTACACACGACAGTACAATGATCTTGACATATCATACATTTGAATAAGATGGCTCATAATTCTTGGAAAGTAATAAAAGTTTATGGAGAGTAACCTCTGTGGATCATACTTTGGCAAAATCTTACCAAAATGAAAAAGCACAAACTCTTTGACCCAGCAATTTCACCTTGAAGAATTTATTCTATCAACATGGGTACAAAACCACACACACACACACACACACACACACACACACGATATTCACTATAGTACTACAGTAGTATCTGAACTGATGAATCAAATTTTCACCATGAGGGACTTCGGGGCCATTTCATAATCACTCCCAATGGAACTACTTCTAAGATATATTATATGAAAAAAATGCAAGGTATCTAATTGTGTGGCACTGTTACTACTTGTTTTTTTTTTTTTTTAAAGACTATTATATACTTATTTAAGCACATAAAATACACTGTGAGGGTACACCAAAAATGAGTAACAACGCTTATCTCATGGATATTAAGTGGGTGGCAGAAGGATGGGCGTTACACGGAGACTGGCATTTCATTATATATTCTTCTGTACTTTTAAAATGTACCTTTATACTACATGCATGCTTTCCTTTACAAACTGGTAAAATATTCTTAAAATTTCTTCAAGAATATCTGGTAGTTACTCAAGCTGAGCCTGAAACAAATTAAAATTCAAAATAGATCTTGATTATTATTAAAACTAAATTTTAAATAAGCCAACAGGACATACTCTAGAGGATCTTTCTCAATTTCATTCCAAAAATACCCTAAATAATGTATCTCCTATGCCCATAACAACACAAATTTGGTTATTTTAATCCTCACTTTGGCACTTGCATAAAAGTACACAAGGTTTCTTTGAATGATTTTTAAATTCTCATTCCAGTTACTTTCAGTTGGAATATATTAGAATAAATGCAATCATCAGGTCCCTAGATGAGGGTAAAGACTCTTCTGTGAATCTATTCTGTTTCACAATAAGAATATGACTAATATAAGCTCATTTTTTTGCTAGGCTTCACAGTTACTTATGAAGGAGGTTGAGACATTCTATGTATTTGCAGTAAAATACATACAAGAATTTACCTGGGCTGGAATTTAAAGAGTAAGTCTTCCAGTATAATCTCAAGTGAAAAGAAAGAGGCATTGAGAGGGTCAGAATCCGATAAGCTAAGTCAGAGAGGAACTCCTGCCCATGTGTTCCTCCACAGTTTCTCCTAAATTCACTCTTTTCTACCTACAAATTGGATTTAGTTTTCATTTATTGTCTCCCTGGCTAATAGAAATGACACTTTTTCTCTATATTCTCTAATAAATTTGGTTTTGGTACAGAACACTTTGATCAAATCTCAGAACCACCAGCATGGCAATCAAATAGGACTTGGGAACACTGAAGTAGGAGACTGCTAGGGTTTGAATCTTTGTGTTTCCCCCAAATTCATGTTTAAGTCCTAACCCCCAAGGCATTAGGATATAGGACCTTAGGGAGGTGATGAAGTTACGAGGGTGGAGCCCTCAACCCTTTCACCATGTGAGGTCAGAGTGAGAAGATTAAGTGTGAACCAGGAAGTTAAGCCTTCCCCAGACAATGAATTTGCCAGCATCTTGATCTTGGATTTCCAGACTAAAGAAAGTGAAAAATACATTGCTACTGCCTTTAAGTGAATTTTTAAACATTTTGTTATAGTAGTCCAAATGGGCAATGCTAGAATCACAAATTAGAAATTGCCTTGCTTTGGCTATTTGTAAGATATGGAGACAAGTAAGTTTGCCTGATTGAATCTTATTGCCCTTGACAAAAAAGGTGATGATAACTTATAAACAAATAAAAAATTCATTTTTGAGAAAAAAGTCAATAGATTATCTACTCTGCCAATTTCATGTTCATCTGCCATAATTAAACAACTGTTAACGTTAGTATGAATGAAGTTACCATGTGTACTTCTACATTGTCTTGGTTTACCCACAGGGTTCTTTGGAATGCAATATTTTAACCTGAAATGTTATATTCCTAGACTTTATTTTCCACTTCAACAAATATCTTCCATAAATATTTAGTCCCTTGGGGCAGGGTTGTAGCTCAGTGGAAGAGCACTTGCCTGGCATGTGTGAGGCACTGGGTTCGATTCTCAGTACCACATACAAATATATAAAATAAAGGTCCATCAACAATTAAAAAAAAATTTTAAAAATGTTCAGTCCCTTAATGAGGCGCTCATGATCTATTAAAGTTAAAAATTTGTCACGAGTTTAGAATTTCTAATTTAACAACAATTCTAGCATTTTATAATATTTTAAAAATTACTTCAGAAAACTTAATATTAAATTTACATATTTGTTCTTTGTTATTAAGGATCTCATATATGTTAAAAATACATGTGAGAACTGTTAGATTTATATGTCACTTCATCTTTTCCATCCCCATTATGTTCACATTTTAGGTATTCTTGAAATTTTCAAAAATTAAATCCACATATTTGACAAAATACTGAGTAGAGTTGTCTATACCATGCTAGCAGAGATATCTGTGGGGAACGGAATTCTATAGTACCTTAAATGAAATGATAAAATTTTACTTGGTAAGTTCTCCCTGTGTCAGGTCCTCTTTCTCTTGGCTGCATTCATACTCATTTTTTAATTTCCTTTTCATTGACTTTAAATCTTTTATTTCTGTTTCTTCACCTTAAAACTGATGGTTGGTATTGGAAGCTGAAGTATCATAAACATCATACACATTAACTCTACTACTGCCTGATTGTCTTTGCTGGTTTATATTGAACAAAATCTCTCAGAAGCGTGAACTTTCAACTGTGGTAGAAGGCAGTTACATTGAAACTTCTGTTGTTCCTATATCTTTTACTTATTCTGTTTTCTTTTCGACTTATAAAGTGTCCTATCTTTTTTCAAACTTCCCTTTACCACAGTAATTCAATGTTTAAGAAGGATGTGGAATCTTAGACAACTGTCTCTTCTTTCCTCATCTATAATGGTAGGCTACATCTTTTGCTAAATTTGAAATCTTACATCTTATAGAAGAATAATACATATAGCAGACTAGAGTCATTGAAAGGTTAGTATTCTAATATTCTTGCCACTCACTGGCCACAAAGGCCAGGAAAGTGTTTTCTTTCTCCTTGCTGTCCATCATATACACTATGATGTCCTCCTAGAGCTTTACTCTTCTAGATTTCCTTGCTGATGAAGGTGGGTCAATAGGTAGATAATTTTCTCATATAAAAATCTAATCAAGATGATAATTGATAAAATTGAAGTTCTATATAATTAGGAAACTTAAAGGAAATTAAAACTATAAAAGTTATTTAAGGACAAGACAAAAAAGAATCACTAAATTTGAGGAGTCACATATAACTAAATCTGCATGGGACATAAAACATCATTTATTCTAAGTTTTTTTTCCAATTATTACCCAATTTTATTGTTGAAAGTAAAAATAAAGAAGATAAACTTCATTATTTTATGTTAAATGAACTGTACTATGATACCACCACAGCTGAGGGTTCCAGTGAGAAAAAAAATCAAAGTGTAGTAAGAGTTTGAAGTTAATAACCTTGAAAATGAACATTATTAATTCTGATAATATTAATTTTGAATTTAGGAGAATCTGGATGTAGATTGGGCTAATACTTGTTTCAATCAGCAAATCTCTGCTGCAAAATAACTGAAATTCAAGTTTTCAACAAGATCGGGGAAAAAATGCTTAAATATGCAAGAGAAAAATCTCAAGAATTTCCAAAAACTGGTTGGAGA